GATCTGGGTGGGAGAGAGGGTGCAGGAGCATGCTGATGGTGAGAGGAAATTAGGGGGTACAGGCTGAGAGTGTGGGGTCCGGGAAGGAGGAAGAGTGCAGGTGGGGGTGTGAGGTCTTCGCCGGAGCAATGTGTGTGAGAGTGATGGAGGTGTGGGGTCAGGGCATCAGTGGGGGGCACTTACCTGGCTCCTGCCATTCCCAGACACTGCCCCACCCCCACTGATCACTTTGGTCATGATTCCAGCAGGGAAAGCGTCTATGCATCAGGAAGTCTGAGAGAGAACTCTTCCTCCGACTTCCCTTACTCTTGTAAAATGAAGGTTACAGGAATTGGAGTAAGAAGTCCTCCAGCTCGACATTATTTCAACATCGTCAAAATAACTGCTTGTAGCATATACGCGAACTATGTTATTTTGGAATAACATCAATTATTCTTCAGGGGGTAGCCGAGTTAGTCTGTTACAGAAAAAAACAATAAATGATCTGGTAGCACTTTATAGACTAACAAAACATGCAGATGGTATCATGAGCTTTCATGGGCACAGCCCACTTCTTCAGATGACCGGTCTGAAGCCAAATGGGGGCAGAGAGTCCCCTGCACAGCCTCCTCCCAGGATTCTCTGTTCCCCAGAGGGAAACTGGCCAAACCTCCCTCCCGTGGTGCATCCAAAACCCCTCTCGCAGTCCTGCGTCTGCCCTGGGGGCCGGGACCAAACCCCCTCCCACGGTGGGGCCAAACCCCACTCCTATGGTGGGGGCCAAAGCCCCGCTTGCACCTGCCCTGGGGCCAAACCCCTCTCCTGTGCCTGCCCCGGGGCCAAACGCCCTCCCGCAGCGCAGCGCCCTCCTACACTTGACTTACGCCTCCTGAGTCCTGCAGTCACAGTGCTGCAGGGAAGCCACCAGCGCTGCACTCCTCCTCCAGGGCTGACACCCTCTGCCGCGTGCCTGGCACACTACAGAGCTGTGGGAGGGGAGCAGCCAGTGCACTTCCGGAATCCCCGGAAGTGGCGCGAAGCTGCAGGAAGGACTTTGTCCACTCCGGGGAAGCTGGCACTACGCTGGAGGTAGGTAGTAGGGCTTCTCAGGGGTGGGGAGCAGAATGGGAGATGGGGGGCCCCGAATGCCTCGCGATCCACTGGTCGAGGCCTTGCAATCGACCAGTCGTTCGCGATCGACCGGTTGGGGACCGCGGCTTTAGGGTGTGAGGCCCTCTTAGGCGTGGGGCCCAATTCGGAGAAATAGGTTGAATCGGCCTAAGGCCAGCCCTGCTGTGACACATTTATATTTTTATGTCTAATTTTGTAAGCCAGTGGTTGGGAATGTGCGAGACAAATTAGACTCCTGAAAGGGGCACAGTAATCTGAAAGGTTGAAAGCCACTGGACAGGATGCTCCAAAGGCCAGAACAGAGCAAAAGAGTAGGGGAAACAGAGACAATAGTTGCAGCAGTGTCCTCGTCAGTCAGAATAAGGTGTATTGGGGCAACCACTGCACCACGCAAGTCTCAAAGGTGTAGCTGTGTTAATCTATACCTGTAAAAACAAAGAGGAGTCCTGACCCCTGGGCGTGTAAAGACTAAGGCTATGTCTAGACTGGCATGATTTTCCGCAAATGCTTTTAACGGAAAAGTTTTCCGTTAAAAGCATTTGCGGAAAAGAGTGTCTAGATTGGCACGGACGCTTTTCCGCAAAAGCACTTTTTGCGGAAAAGTGTCCGTGCCAATCTAGATGCGCTTTTGTGCAAAAAAGCCCCGATCGCCATTTTCACAATAGGCCTTTTTTGCGCAAAACAAATCTGAGCTGCCTACACTGGCCCTTTTTCGCAAAAGGACTTTTGCCTGAACGGGAGCAGCATAGTATTTCCACAAGAAGCACTGATTTCTTACATGAGATCGTTAGTGTTCTTGCAGAAATTCAAGCAGCCAGTGTAGACAGCTGGCAAGTTTTTCCACAAAAGCAGCTGCCCTAGAGTGGGATTGCTACAAATACTCATTGAGGACCGACTCTCAATGAGAGCAGGGTTAGGTCAATGCTTTTGGAAAATGCCACCATAAGTGTAACACTTGCTGGCTTTGGGATCATTGATATAAAGTTTCTCTGGGGGTGGTGGAGTCTCCATTATCAAAAGGTGCCTGCACTGATTATCCAGCTTTGTTCAGTCCTACTTACCATCTGATTATGATATCATAATACAGCATAGCTCACTGGCCCTCCAGCCTTCCCGGGGTGCCCTGGTGGCCACTCCAGCCTCAACCAACAACACTCCTCTCCCTTTTCCCCACACCGGAGCCCTTAAAGGGGTTGACTCTGGCCACAGTGCCTGTGCCAGCTCCAAGCTTGCCAGCACAAAGCTAGCAGTCATGACCCCTGACCCAGTGGCCTCAAAACATGAGCCAGCAAGCCACTGGCAGCCAGCCCTCCTGGTCCAGGGTGGAGATCATGGACCTTATTCAGGTTTGGGGAGGATGCCCCCAATGTCCATGATATCCGCACTAGATGGAGGAACGTGACCGTCTATGGCAGGATAGCTGCCAGCCTGGCCACCAAAGGCCACATGCGAACCCAGGAGCAGGTTTGCATGAAAATCAAGTTGCTCTGGCAAGACCCGCAACCCTGAGCCCTGAGCTTCCCCTCCCCCTTCTTCCCCTTGCTTCCCCCTTACAGCTCCCTCCTCCCAGGTTTTCCCCTCCCCTCTTCCACCCTCTCTTCTCCCCTCTCCTGCCTCCTTTCCCCTGTCTCACCAGAGTTTCATTCCCTCTCTCCCCAGTTTTGTTAAATAAAGAGACTTTGTGTTCATGAAAATATGTGTATTTTATTTGACATCAGGAAGGGGGGTTAGGGAGGGGTAAGTGGAAAGATGTGAGGGAGGAATGAGGCACAAGCCCCCAGTGGAGCAGACCAGGGAGGCTCTTAGTGCTCCTCAGGGTGGAAGCTCTCCCGCAGGGC